CAAAGAAGCAACATGATACATTAACATAACATATACAGTATAATCTGTGTAGTATGTCACCTGAATAACTTGGAAACACTGCAAACCTGACTTTTATCGAAAAACGTTAAGGTCCCGTGTCTGACGGGGAAATATCCGACAGAGAAACAGTGACGGGGATGTGACCTGCTACTTATTAAACGTGGAAATGGAAACGATATTTTTTCAAGCATTTACAAATATGTAAATAGTGTATTTTAAAATTATTAGTCAATAAATATAATCTTTATCAATTACATAGATTACTTCGTTTTATCGTAAGTGTTGTATTAATGTTATGACGCAGATTGCACATAAAGTACTGAAAAAATTTAACTAAATGAATCAAAAAAAAAAAAATAAATTAACAATACAACAAATTTGTGAACTTTTCAACTGTGGAAAAAGTCAAATGTGTAATAAATTAAAGGAGAAAAAAATGAAATAAAAAACAATGGGCGAATGGTAATAAGCGTAACTATAAAAATTAATGTAAAACTCAAAGTTATAGATATTTATGTATAATTTCCATATTAGGAAATGGGCGAATAAAAAGAATACCAAAATCTAGCGCAAACAAAGAAATTAATAATTTTACTTGGAAATGGTTTGTAAGTGCTAAAGCTAAAAGTATACCAATTTCTGGAGCAATTATATTATAGTCTAAAGCACGCCGAATTACTGAACAAATGTTTTTTTTTTTTTTCATTTATTTAAATATACACAATCTGTAAGTGTTGTTTTAAAATAAGTGTATGTAATGGAGGTGACATGGCTTGAGTGGCTGGAGATAAGAAGCCGCCCATTGAAGGCACTTAAGGTTATGATTTTAGGCTACAATTTTAATGTGCTAACAAGAGAGAGTGGGATTACAAAATTAATAGGGGTAGAGGTAGAGGTATATACAATTTTAGATTAGTAGGTCACGATACCAGGTACGTTTAAGACGTCTTCTGGGGTCACCAGGAATAGTGTTGGTGGATAGCTCGGAAATCAAGGGATTATGATGACTGTGAAACTTGGAGTGTGTGCGTTTGTAGAAAGTTTTTGTGACGTTTTGGACTGTTGGAATGGCTAGATCTCTATGTAGAGTATCGTTGGATACATAGTAGGGAGCTTTGGTTATTTTGCGGAAACATTTAAATTAGAAGATTTGAATTTTGTTTAAGTTGAACTTTTTGGCTGCACCCCAGAGTTGGATACCGTATGTCCAGATCGGTTTGAGTAGGAGTTTGTATAATAGTAGCTTGTTTTTTAAGTTGATGTGTTATGATGTGAGGAGATAACATAATTGGCGAGAGTGATTATTTAAGACAAGTCTTTTGTTGTGGGTGTGAGTTGCCCAAGTTAGCCTGCGGTCTAGATATAGATCTAGGTATCGGACATTTTGGGCAGTTAGGAGAGGTAGATGGGAGGGCAGACTGTTTGCTTTAGTGTGAACGTACTATGGATGGATTTAGTTTCATTAATTTTTATTCCCCAATCTTTATATAGGTTGATAAGAGGTTTTTTAAAAAAATTTTAAATTTTTTTTTACTCTATTAAATGGATAACTGCTCCAAGTGGAAAAAATATCCGGTCCCAGCCGTTTTTATATTACACAGGTTTCGCTGTAATACACATTCACATTGTTGCAGACTTCAACACTACTGATTATCAAGAAAGTTTGAAAAAGTTTTAACTACATTTTGTAAACATAAAAAACGTTTCATATACTCATGTAAACAATACACTTACTGTCGAGTCAAATAAAAGTGGTGCTCGGGGAGTGAACCCATAAAAAAATTTAGAGCTTAGAAAGCTTTATCCCTCTGCGGGATATTTATAGTGAATAAAATCGTTTATAATTTATAATATTATATTATATATGTATAGTAATTCTTAAAATACAATAAATAACATGAATTTTTTTAAATTGATAATTATTTTTTTCAACATCAAACCCAACTTAATCAACTGCAATCACATAGCTGCTGTAATTTAAACATATAATGGTTTTTTATTATAACATGTCAATGTATAACATTAAATAATATAATACTAATACTATAAGACATAAGTATATTATGAATTCACGTGGCATCATTATAACAGTTTTTATTGTTTGTGCTATTAAAGCACTACCTATTTCCTAATCGTTTCTTATTATCTAGTTAAGTATTGTAATTTATTTTGTTATGGATAGACGTGTGATGTATGTATTCATTACACACTGAATTTGTTAGATTTGGACGGAAGTGAACATTTATTTACTTGGAACAGATCTGAGTAATAATGACAATATATCGATAAAATTCGACGTAAAAACATTGTCACTTTATCACAAGATTATCATTTTATGGCCTATACTGATTGCTGAGTATATTTAATCATTTAGTCACATTTAAACTATACTAATAAATTGTATTACAGCTCATATTTTTTAGTGAACACCGATACGAAGTATGTAATCCAAAATTGGAAGTGTGCACTACAGATTTGAAAAGTATTTACCTGCTAAAAAATAAGATTTTTTTTTATTAAACATAAATAAATTAATCAAAAATAAATTTTAAGATTGATATCATATTATAATATTTTTAAAACTAGCGGAAGGTTATTGTTATTATCTACTAGAAACTAAAAAAAAAATCATTTCATAAATTAAAATAAATATGTTGTATATTTTCAATATTGATCTTCGCATCCCAGTGTTATAAAACGGCTTTCAAACAAAAAAAGACTAATAAAGTTTATCCACATTCCTTATAAGAACAGTGGTATAAAAGTATTTTCTAGGAAGCAGGTTAAAGCAAAACAGCTTATGAGGAATCAAATATATCAGTTAAATTTTAAATGATAATATATCCCGCATACAAATAAAGTATTTGTCTATTTTTTTAGATTTATATTTCATAACTTGTTTATATATATATTTAGTTTTTAAAAAAAGTTATTACCTATTAAAAAAATTGCTAATATTTTATTAAAAATTATGATAATATGAAATGGTGTAGATGAAGGTGTTGTGAGCTATTACTCCCCCCCTCCAACTTCACTGTATTTGTACATGAAAAAAATGTGTAGTACGAATTTTATAAAATATAGGAACTGTTTTATTATGTAATGTATAATATACATTGTATATATATACTATACCTATGGAAGCGCAACGTGTATTTTAGTGTTTGCATATAGCTACGCGATCGCGCACATGTATTTATCAATATATGATAAACAAATTATGGATGTAATTAGGTACATACGTTATCAATATACCATACAAGTATAATATTATAGACATAAATTTTCATGACATTAAAAATTTAAAGTTCTGAATTCTGATTCATAAACACACTTCTTTGATTTGTATTTTATTTTACAATTATACCAAGCAACTTAAACAATATATCATTAAGCCCCTGAAATACCATTTGTAGCCATAGCCTCTCAAAGTAAAGTTTGTTTTTACATTTTTCTGCGTGACCTATCGATTTTAATTCAAAAACCTATTTTGCTTTGTAAAGATTTCCTTTTGAGTTTTTATCACGTATTCTAGAAATACATTTACAATGTCTTAAATTTATAAATAACATCAATTTAATTATTCACAGAAAATATTAATATACATATTTTGTATTAAATTTTATTTTTAAAATAATAAATATTGCATAAACCTCAAAGCTCAAAAGCATAGTCAACCAACATCTGTTAAAAATGTAAGATAATGTCAAATATAAAAAATAACTGATTAAAACTTATAATACTCTTTATTTTCTATAATTTTTAATATTTCATTTAATGAATAAACTCAGAGTAGAAATAGTAAAATGCATTTAATAGTAACTGTATACTTATTATAGATATACATAGATATATTATAAACTATAATAAACTAAAAATAAATACTTAATATTTTAATTATATTTCAAGTATAAGAAAACTTGTTTGTATAGGTGAATAAATTATTCTCGTCGAAGTCTTTTAAAATATATTTAATGAAAATTTAAAAAAAAAATTATAAATAGTTTATTAACCATCGCGTAAAAGCTTATTGTAATATATATTCTAGTTAGTTAACCATTTCATGTTCTACGAATTACAACGTAATATGCATTTATACATAGGACGGTAATCATTTATGTTTAGTGTGTATGCTGCATAAAAATTAATATATTTTAATTGAATATACGACAGAAATAATTAATATCTGGGTTAAAAAACCGTCAGCTTATCCAGTGGTTGAGAAAGATTTAAAACCTACCCTTTTATTTTTTTCTTGTTATAAATGTATTTATTCAATTGTCCATTGTTAACGTGGGTTCCAACACGCTGAACAAATAGCGGCTTACGCATAGACTATTAAGCGCCCGTGCATTTTACAACGCCCAACTACACAATCGATTATGCTGTATCATAATATATCGTATAAATAAAATATAAAATAAGAACTATTATTTTTTTTTTTTAATGTAAACTTTGTTTAAAAATAGGTAAATAGTACCGTGCATTATGTATATTATGGGTCTGGAAAAAAAGCAAGTAAATGAAAAGCAAATGAAAAAAAGCAAATTAAAAATTTTACAGTGCATTGCTTCGTATATAATAACAAAAATTATTACTATTGGTTATAATCTATGCTATAGCATATTATGTACGATATACCTATAAGGTAGGTATATACAAAATGACAATAAATAACTTGTCAATATTCTTGTTATCACTGCAGCTCGGATTACGGCTTACGACAGCAACGTATTTTCAAATCGCACACCGATTATTATAGATTACAAAAATTACCCAGATATAATATCCCCAACTTCAGATTGTCCAAAGCTACGAGATTTCAGCTTAACTGCGTTCATTACTCTTATGTAATAATTCAAATTTTTTCTACTTTGTTTTAAATATATATTATTATTATTATTATTATTATTATTATTTTACTAATTAAAATGTCGCATCAAATAATAAAATCTAATAAAAATATGAAAAAAGTTTGTTTTAATGGCCACATGCATACGAAACATTACAGTACGTTAATATATAATGTTTGGAGGTACTTTAAAGCGTCAAGTCTCAAGTATCCTAGTAAATTAAAAGCATTAAAAGAAAATTCTACTAAGATACCAATAATTGATAAAGCACATACTCATCCTCCAAACACGCATGAAGTGAAAGTCTATAAATGCTTAGCACGAATGAAATATAAGACAGCAACTACGTCAACAAATCTAATTGAGATTTACTGTGAAGAACTTGGAAGCTTGAATAATGAAACTCGAGCTAAGATGCAACTAGAAACAATTACTAAAAGAACTTTTCGAAATCAACGATCAAAAAATAATTTAAAAGAACCTAGACATTTAGATGACTGTATAATCAAAGGTAAGATGAAAATACTATATTATTATTTAGGTAATTATAGTTGAATAATATTTAATTGATTGCTACCTATACCATATTTTTAAAATTTCTAAATATTAGTAATAATATAATATATTATGTAATTACAACAAAACATTTTTATTAATTATTTTTTAATTTAAATTATAGGTAACTGGGCACTCACAAATGATGGACTTATATTATTACTAAAAGATAGTATAGAAGATCGATTTGAAGACAAAGTTATCAATGTTATCATATTCTCCACTGATGAAGGGTTAAAACATCTCACCGAAGCGGAAACATGGATATTCGATGGTAATTTTGGAATGGCACCTTCTATTTTTCAAATATTATGTGTAATAAGAATCAAAATTCATGATTTGTAAATAACTACTGTATATTGTTTATTAAAAAAAAAAACGCAAACTACTTATGAATATATGTTACAATAATTGTTACTTAAGAGGACGTGATACCCGTATGTGTTGTCTCCGTCTTACAAGTGAATAACATGGCAAATTTTACGCAAAGCAAATCACGTTTTGCTCCATTAGTTTAAAAATTAGAGTGAATTGACCTCTTATAAAATTTAAAGGTAAAAATATTATTTAGACTACCCCATGGACCTTTTACTATATTTTAATTTTGAAGCGAGTTATAAGTATTTTAAGATGTATAAAAATTTACAATTTTAATTTTGAATTACCATTAATTATAAATTATAAATTATAATATTATGTTACATAAATAACAATAACTTATACGTCATATATGAATAAGTACTAGTATAATAGGTATAATAGGTACTTCTATATTAATTATTTGAATACTATTATTTTTATTTAGTAAACATAAAATATAATTCAGTCTCTTTTAAGTTTTGGGTATTCCCAGTATTTATCAATTTAATTTATCGCTTTTTAACACATTTTTATTAAGCTCAGTGCTTAAAATAATTCTATAATAAATTGTAATTCGTACTTATAAATGACAAATGCTAATAAATAACAATTAAATATTAAGCATAATGTTAAACTAAATGAAAGATTTAAATTTCATCATCTTTAATATTTATTTATAAATACAAAATGCCTGACACGCGTTATACCCTATTATAATACTAAATAAGTACATACCTACATTTATAGTAAATTCACCGAAAGACCTGACCTACGGGATGGACGAAAGCTTGTCGTTCTTTTCTACTACAACACTTGATGGCTACGCCGCTACGGCCCGCTTACTTATCACCTGTTGCTTTAGACTCTACAGTTTAGAGTGTTTAGATTGTTTAGAATAATGGCAAGTTATACAGTGTCGCGTTTTAGTGTGATGATGGCGATCTGTGATAATATATTGTGTTCAACCACATTCCGCATCACATGACAGTTTATTTAAACTCATTCTGTATATAAAATAGTTTTAGTAGGCGGAGAAAAGATTTTGAGATTTTTGACGGAGCACCCGCATTTTCGTCAGTCGGATACTCGGATGCGCGAAGTGGTCCGGTCTCATGATAAACAGAGCATGGACATCCCAGAGGGGGAGACAGGAAACTTACCTTCCTCCATAGAATTTTAATTCTGTTACCTAATTTATTGTAATAATTTAATATAATAATGATGAATGCACGATCTACGTTTACGGCTTAAAAGACATGAGTTATGAAATTATTATAGACATACTTTTCGTTTTCAATAAACACGTCTTTATTAAAATGTTTTTAATTTTCAACATAAAAAAAAAAAATTGTAAAACCTATATTTTCTACTTTTCAGGTAATAAAAACTATTGATAATAAAAATAAATATTATTGCTGTTAAAGTAATTTATTTTACTAGTATATGAACATTACTACATAAAACATAAATAGGTACCTAGTAGATACAGTACTTCGGTTGAAATGGCCGGTTGAATAAATTATTGCCTGAAATATTACCTACATTTAAAAACGTCTTGGTATATTTGTATACATAAAATATAATAATATACCTACTTTAAAAATGTCAAATACCAACCCACAAATAATATTTGTATATAGGTAGTAAAAAAACTGTGTTTACCAATATATTTTTAGATTTTTTAATTACAATATAAACTATTTATGAGAAACCTCGTTTAAATTCTTAATCCTTAATTATAAAAATTGAACATTTTATTAACTTTTATTTACAAATTACAGAGAATTTAATGAATTTTTTCAACATTTGAACTTTAAATGCTTATAAAAAATAAATCGTACGTACCTATATATCTTAAATATTTTTCAACTGCTATTATAAAAGCTTATAAGATACCTATCTTAAATTAAATTTTCAAGCTTTTTGACCCAACAAACATTTTTGATCGTTAGTCCTCCCCGAGTTTTAAAGGTCTAGTTACGCCTATGTGCGGAGATCTCGTGCTTGACGAATACCGAATTAACAAAATTGATTTTATTTCAATTAAGTGTTAATCAAATAATAAGATTACATATCTAAATCAAATAATAGGTACTTAGAATTAATATTATATTAAATATGATAAATTAATATACCTGCAGTCTGTAGAGGCGTAGAGCTGTTGGTACATACCTACAGACTAGGTACAAATTTGTATTCATCGACCACTAATAATAAGTGCTTGCCTCTAGTCGTGACAATCAAATTAAATTTATGTATAAATAAGTAATTTATTTTTTTAATGTACAATTACTATAAATATATATAAATATACCCTTATCTAAATATAACAGATTGTGATTAGGTAAGTATAATTTTAATAAAAAAATAATAGAAATAAATAAAATAAAATTGCAGTAAATATTAAAGTAATTATGAAAAAATATTTTTATTGAGGTTCAATAAAAATTTACAGTTGAATAAATTTGCAATAAAATTATTTTATAGGGGAGAGATAACCCACAAACTACGGTACTAAATGTCTAAGTGTATAAAATATGTAGGTAGGTAGTGAAATTGAAATGTTATTGTCTAATAGTAAAAAAGGGCAGAACACAGAACTATCATATGATATTAATTATCAAATTGAATTCAACTATTCGACATAATTTAAAACTATTTTTTTATAAATTGTAATTGTCGTTACCAAATTGATTTATTTTTAATAGTGTAAATTTTATTAATATTTACAAAGACTCTTGAACAAAGACATAGCATTTCTACGATAGATATTTCATTATCTAAATAGGTACCAAAATACTTAAAAATCACATTTCACTATTCAATTAAATTGACTTAAAAAGAGTATTTTAATAATAATTTGAAAGTAAGTCGTTAATATTTAAGAAATGTAAATATGTGCATTAGTTTGATAAAATTTAAAATTGTAGTAATAAACTTGGCCATGTACTTTAATTTGAGAAGTTTTAGTTGATATTTAATGTTTTAAAGTTTCTTGATACCACTTTCTCCATGGAAATATACATTGCACAAATAAAATATAGGTACTTACCAATAAACTAAATTAATTTTTTTTTCGCTTTAAAATAACAGAACGAAATTATTTATTGATCAGTGTCTGCTATACAGACAGTAGCATAGCATTCCAAATTATTATAAGCACTTTTAAGTAATGAATGTGCTTGGTTCAACTTGATAAAATAAACAATATTAAGTTTTAATGTTATCTATTTGTGTATTGCACAATAATAAAATAAACTGAAATCAGTAATAATAATGACATTCAGTTTAGTTATTTGTAAAATTAAAAATTTTAAATTAAATAGGTTATAATTTAGTTAAGGTACATTTAGAATACAGAATTGCTCATTTTCTTAATATATCTCAACACATAATTTTTTAATTAACACAAGTAATTAAATAAAAATCAGACAGTGTTACAGATAAGATATTTTAATAGACACACATCTATTAATCAGGTGAACTTTATAAAAAATTCAAAAGATTTCAGATTAACTAGCCATGTCTTTTTAATTCAAAGATCAAAATAAGAATGTTTAAAAAAAAAGGGTTGTATTAAATTACTTTCAGTTAAAACAACGATTTAATTTATGTAATAAAACTTATCTAGTATAAAATTATTACTCAATTGTATAAAATTTTATAAACCGACTCTAATAACAATTACTTTCAATTCTTTAAAAAACAGTCATTCTAAAATCAGCAATAATCCTATAACTGCTGACAAACTATTATTCTAATTTCATTTAACAACTATTTTATAAGAGATATAAATAGGTACTTCAGTAGTTAAATGGATAAATATAAATATGAGTTATTATTTCATGAAAACAATTTATTTGATTAATTAAATATGTATTGATCAATTTTACTAAATACTAATGCACTATACGAAGACATAAGTATTATACAAAACATCAAATGACACAATTAAGAATATGTTTAAATATATTTTACATTAATCCCGTAGTATAATTATTGTGTTACTATATTACGCTAAAATAATAAAATTTAACAATCAACACAATATGGTTCAATAATTACAAGGTTCGTTTAACAAAAATTCTTTATTTTCATCTTTAAATTATTGATTTAAATGGTACGTTAAAACAAGTAAATTTCATAGTAACTCTATTTAATAGAAGCAGTCTTTAAAAATTTTAGTACAAGAAAATATTCCTTCGTCATTTATATCATTAGGCATATATTCATTTAACGGATAAAATAACTTGTATAATAATATTTATCATATTAATAGATGTAAACAAAATCATTAAATTTAGATAAATATACACAAAATTGAAATATGCTGTTAAACAAATTAAGCAAATATAATTTCTGGAAAATCCATAACTGGCATTGAAGGAAAGGAGCATTCAATTTCTGGTTCTCCTAAAAAATAAAACTATTTTAAAACAAATTAAAATGTACATACATTTATAATATAAATCACAAATCAATGACATTGTTATGGGCTACGAGATGTACTAATAATATAATATAATATAATATAATATTCATGAGCTACGAGATATGCTAATATGTAATATATGTGTAATATTGCTATAGGTATTAGCAATAGCGATCTAAATATATATGTGATCTAATAATTATAATGTATACGAATATTAGATTCATATTTTGTAAAAACATTGTAATAAATCAAAATAGTAGTTCTTAGGCGAGGTCGTTTTGCGTTTATAAGAATTGCCAGTAAGACGATAACATCCTGGAGATTGTTGTTTCAAATGTGAAAACAATTCCAAGAATTAATCTAAATTGGAAGGTTAACGATTACAACAACAAGAGATTTTCTTGTATATAAGGGAGTCCGAAGACCAACAAGGGCAGATGTACCAGAGCTACGAAGAACAGAGCAACTTCACGACACTCAGCCACTTCTTATATCAGTTACATGTATTTTATTTATACAGATTAAACATTATTGTAATTAAAAGTTGTACAATTCATTTTAATAACACCTTGGATCTGGATCTGATATTGGCACGCAACAACATAAACAGAATGTAAGATTTCGCCAAATTTATCAGTTAAAATATAACTCATTTAAAGAACCTTAAGCTAATAAAACTATTTCTCAAAACGAAATTAATAAGCACAGTACTAATATAATTATTTAAACTAAATGTAAAATCCACAATTATTACCAAAGTTATCAAATTGATTTTTGATTTTATTGATCATTATTTTATTGTAATCTTCAAGAAACCAATCACTTGTGTCATTATTATTTCCACCAAAAAATTCACTCAGCATGCCAATGTTACACGTCATACTTGGAGGCAAAATATCTGCAAAAAATATAAGTATATAGATAATAAAAAGCAAATCTTATTATGCATTATAATGTATTAGATTCTAAGTAAATCATAAGAATGTACTAGTTAAACAATATTTTTATTTTTTTAAATAACCATTATGATATAAGAAGTGCTCCAAAAGTAACAAGTAACTTAAAATCAGAATTATTTGGTACATCAATATTCTTCATTTATAAATGTCATTAAAATGTTAAAAATAAATTATTAAAAATATTTTTATAAATTAAATATAACCCATTTCGCGACACATGTATTACCTGTTAATCTAGCAACTATGGTTCATATTATATGAGTTGAAAATAAATGCTGCAGATACTTATCATTAAATAGTTTTAATACAACCAATTATTACTGTTGGAGAAAATTCCTCTATATTATCTATTATTATTGGGTATTTTTTCAAATTTAATTATCATTATTACACATAATTAAATTCACAATGTTTAAGTTAAATTATGTATAGACAATTTACTACATTGCTCTACTTAAGGGTTTTATTATGGCCTGTTTATTATATTACACAGTATAATTACAATTTCTGGTAATACTAAATATTTGACCAAAATGACCTTGCAATAAAATTAGTTTTTGGGAAAACCCATAAGTATAACAGTGAGTAAGATATGCAGTAGTAACCCTAAATATTTTTTTTTTTTACAAATGATTATTTTAGATTCTAAGTAAAGTTATTATATTATACGATATTTGATACAAGTAACCTGACAGTTTGTAGTTTTAAACATTTAGTTACTAAATACAATATACATTATAGTACAGTATATATTATAGTAATATTTTATGGGGAAACAAAAATTTCCAGAATAATGAAAATTTAACTTGAATACAGGATTCACACACAGGAAAACCCAATAGATTCTGAAGTCCATATTTTGTATAATTTTTATATTCTTGACACTACTGACAAATGCATACACAATTAAACATATATTTTTTAAATTATAACACATTTTTCAGCACACAATTTGAGTTTAACAAATTCCTTAGTCGAAATTTAGTTCAAAATTGACTAAATTTAAGACATCACTACAACTTAAAAAAAATTTAACAAGCTAAACCTGAAATTTTTACCCAACTATAGATATAGTAAATACAATTATATATATTTTTACTAATTTTATCACTATAATTTTAAATTTCTTAATTTTATGAATAACAGTATAGATTTTGAATTTTAAATTTCAAAGCTAAATGTTATTTGGAATATTTCAATTTAATAAAATAAAATGTAGGATAATTAATTAATAAGTTTAAATTAGCAGAGTAGTAGTCTAATATTTTTCGGCTATAGACTCAACTTTGCTCATAAAAACTTGAAATGCTTATAAATAGAAAACTTAATCATCCAAAATTAATTTTTTACTCAACCAAGTACCTAATACATAAATATATATCTTAGAAAAAACGTGATACGTAGTATTTATAGAAATCTACCTCATTAAATATAAATAAATATTAAATTATTAATTACCATTTTCCTGTGTTGTACAGTCAAAATGATTAAATTCATCATTTTGATTGTAAGTGTAGTCTTGTAATGGTGATTTACATTTATTTTCCGTTTCAAAATTTTTCATGGGCAATACCTTTAATTGTTTAAGACTTTTACCATCAGACTTTTTTATCGACTGAACTGTGTTTGTTAACACCTTCAAAGCACTTTTTTTACGATTTGTAACTAAACCATTTTCTATAACATATTTAAAACAAAAATATAACAAAAAAATTATTGGCTAAAACTTAATAGATGATTTAATAATTATTAATACTGTAGAGAAAAAACTTACTTATATTTTTTACAGGGTTCTCGTTGTTTATAGAAGCCAATTTACGAACACGAAAAGTATTTGAAGACATGTTGTTAATTATTATTACCTATAAAACTCTTAGTTATATCAAAAAATATGAAGAGTTTAATGTGTGACAACGTGTTTCAAGTACAGCGTTATTTAATAGTTAAAGCTTGAGTTTTGAACAGTTGAACCTCTGCCTTCTGGTGATGGAGACGTTGCAGTGATCGACGAAAGGGAATGTAGAATATCGATAAGGATTAAGGAGTATGGACTATGTAGCGTCACAATGATTAAAATAAATTTGTGGGTTTTAACTTTAATTAATTCTAATCAATAGAATAACAGCTGCAGCTATTAAAAATACTAAAATAGAATAATATCGAGAGAAAATCCAATAGACAATATTCCAATATTCTGTTACTTTTTATTTTATAACGGACAAAATGCCAATGATAAATAATGATAAAACTTATTATCAAAGTTATGTACAGACTACAGTGTGCCATATTGTTAATAAATACAATATTAAAATATTTTTAAAACTGTATATCGTTATTTTATCGTAAATAAGCAATCATCTAAATCTTAGATGGTAGAATCAGGTAAACTCACAACAATAGTCTATACGACATAGAGTACGCTAAGTCTATGTTCTAAAATCTACGGTCCTACTGGTCCTAGAAGTGTTTAACTATGAACTATGAAGGCATGATCATACAATAACTTTTAAGTACCTTAGTCATTATAAAAATATTAAAAACAATTACTATCAGTTATTTTAACTTTTATAATTTCTTTTTTTTACTAGTACCTTAAGGCTTATGATTTTCTATGAGATTCACTTCCTATCAGCTACTATGATAATATAAAAAGTTTAAACTTTTTAAATTTACAAAATTAAAACAACTACTACTATTGTCTAAAGTTAAAAAATGATGATTAGATGAAAATTACAATGTGCTGATATTTTTGTATTATAGCAATCATTTAAAATCAAGAATTACAATCGAAAATCCACATCATAGTGTTTAACATAGTTATAGTTTTAATCTACATTTAATAAAACTAAAAATTGTTATTAACTTGTAAAAAATGGACAATTTCAAAATGAAATATGAGGTAACTTGTTACTATATTATATTGTTTAATATATAGTATAGATAAATATAATTAATGAATAATTATATTAATATAGGTTTTTGAATTATTGCCTATTCATCTATACAAATAATTTTTATAGAAAAATTCTTTAAAATATTATTATTTCAAATTTTGATTCTTAATCTATTTATAAATAAACTTGTAGTTTTTTTAAGTTGTTTTTTTAATCATTTAAGTACACACACACATAAATATATTTATACATGAATACAATTTAATATAATTTTAATTTTATACAGGTACCTGGTGGTATTATCTCACTAATGCCAAGCATTCCAGCAGATTTATTAAGTTATATAAATTGTATTGAAAATTTACCGGTTTATAAAGGTGAATCAATCCTGCCAAAAAGAGATGTTAATTTATTATCCTTATATGCTGATAATAATATAAACCATATGCCAACTAATTTAATAGTATGTATATATGTTATGTTAAGTTATTTTAAATATTATTACTAAATAATATGTTATATACAGCCTAAAAGAGATCCCAAGACTGGTAAAATTATTTGCTATGAAGAAGTTATTAATGATCCAATATTTCAATCTGAAGGTAATTCAATACCTTGTCTAAAATCAATGAACAGTCAAAGTACTGTCAACCAACATGAAGATGATGCGTTTCAATTTCAATTTGATCCTAGTATGTACCTATATTAATATTTTCTAAGAAATATTATTTACCTATATAATAATTATTATTATATTTATATCTTAGATAATTTACCAATAGCACCAGGAATGTCAAACAAACTGAAAATAAACCAAAATGATCAAAATACATCCATAAACATTTGTGCCATTGACACAACAGTAGAAGATGAATGGACTGAAGATGTAGGAGGATTTTGGGATGATGAAGTACCAGAAATATTAAGTCAACCAGATAATATACCAGAACCAATTTCTGTAGATGAAATTAATCACATTAAAGTAATTATTTATAACTTATAAGAATTTTAATTTAAAAAAATTATAATCTTTCTTACTTTTCAATAGAAAGATGAAAACTTTGTACTAAAAATTTCTCGAAATGCAGAAAGAGCTCTAGTAAAATCTAAATGGGTTGAAGAATTAGATATTTCAAAACCAATTGATAACTTTGACGAGTTATTACCTGATCCAGCTTATAAATGGGAATTTGAATTAGATACATTTCAAAAACAAGTAAGTATTTGTGTATTACTTTAATAATTTAGATCAAATTATGAAAAACAATTTTTATATAAATTCTAAGTTATATATTTCTTGAATGTATTTTTTATAACATTTATATAAACTTAAAGTACTGTTGCATAATATTTTTAGGCAGTGCTTAAATTGGAAGAAAAAAGTAGTGTATTTGTAGCGGCTCATACATCAGCAGGTAAAACTGTTATTGCAGAATATGCTATAGCACTTGCTAAAAAACATCAATTAAGGTAAACATTTATTTTATCATCTATTAAAAGTACACTTTCCTTATTAAATTTGTACCTTAAATATTTATTCTAATAAAAACACATCTAATATTTCATTGATACTTACATCCTCTTAGAACTGTACAAATTATACATTTTCAACTAATTATTTAGATGCATATATACATCTCCGATAAAAGCATTATCCAATCAAAAATTTCGAGACTTCAAAAAAAAATTTGGAGATGTTGGTCTTATTACAGGAGATTTTCAAGTGAAACCAGAAGCTCAATGTCTTATTGTTACAACAGAAATTCTATGTTCTATGCTATATAGTGATTCAGATAAAATTAAAGAAACTGAATTTGTTATTCTTGATGAAGTTCATTATGTAAATGATAGAGATGTAAGTAATTTAGTCAAATGTGCTTTAATAATAATGTTTGTAAGGAGGATACCACACCCATATGTGTTGTCTCATTCTTATAAACGTACAACAGTAAATTTGATTTCAGTTGAATCAATTTAATATTAAAATTTATTTACCTATTATCAAACTTAAAAATAAGAAAATTACTTGCTATCTCTTGTTGGTTTTTTACGATATTTTAATTTTTAAGTAAATAAAGTGTATGTTTAATACTAAAATATAAAAATGTTCATAACTTACTTAGAAATTAAAATATTGTATAAAACCGACAATGGATTATAGATAATAAGTTTGATAATGGCTCAATTTATTCTAATATTAAAGTTGACAACACAAGATCAGTTCTACTAAAATCAAATTTACTATGTTGTATGTTTGTAAGATGAAGATGATATAATACATATATGTAATATTATCTAAATAAAATATTTATATTATTTAATAGAGAGGTCACATTTGGGAACAAATTTTAATTATGCTTCCTAAACGTGTGAAATTAGTTATGCTAAGTGCTACTGTCACCAATGTTATTGATTTTGCCAACTGGATCGGTCGTACTCGTGATACTAAGATTTATGTTGTATTTACTCTGTATCGACCAGTTCCTCTTGAACATTATCTTTATATTGGTTCAAATACATCTATGGAAATGAAAGACAATATGCATCTAATTAGAAAAGCAGACAGCGGATTTCTAATCCAAGGGTATGTATATAATGCAACATTAGTATTTATATGTATAGATATAAAAATGTAATCGATTATTTAAATACATTTACAGCTATCGTAAAGCTTCAGACTTATTAAAAAAAAATAAAGAAGTAAAAAAATATCAAGAATCTACACATTTCAAAGATCAGAAACCAAAATGGGTCAATTTTTTAAGATTTCTTGATAAAAATAATTTGTTTCCAGCAGTTGTTTTCATTTTGTCCAGAAAAAAATGTGATATGATGGCAGAATCTTTAAAAAACTCAGTAAATTTTTTATTAAATAATAAGGAATCACAAGCAAATGAATATTTTTTCAATGATGCTATAAAAAAATTAAAACCTGAAGACAGAGCTTTACCTCAAGTAAATATCAATGTTTATAGTTAGTATTTTATGACAAAACTATCTATTTAATATTGTGTATATAATATATACATAAAATATTAAAAATCCTATAACTTTTAGGTTGTTTTAATGAAAGAATTATTATGTCAAGGCATTGCAGTTCACCATAGTGGAATTTTGCCAATACTAAAAGAAATAGTAGAAATGCAATTTCAAAAAAGTTTAGTGAAGGTAATTAAACAAAAAAAAATGTTATATCATTTTATTTTAATTACATAATGAATTTACAGTGTTTATTTGCCACTGAAACATTTGCGATAGGTATTAATATGCCAGCCAGAACAGTGGTCTTTGAAGCAATTAACAAATTTGATGGCATAGAAAGAAGAAATTTAGCACCAGCTGAGTACACTCAAATGGCAGGACGCGCAGGTCGTCGTGGTCATGATGATAGTGGTACAGTAATAATAATGGCAAATGATCAATTACCCAATGACAGAGAATTAACAAATATGATGTTAGGTTAGTTTTTAATAAAGCAATTGATACATAGAAATATGTTTAACCAACTTTTTTAAAACATCAATTTTTTTTAGGTAAATCTGCTAAATTAGAATCTCAATTTAAAGTCAGTTATTCTATTATATTGAACATGTTTAAAAAGAAAAATTCTGAAACTCTGGAAGAAATCTTAGGTAGTAGTTTCATTGAAGCTGCTAGAGCCAAAAAAAAAGATGAATATACTGAAGAATTAAATTCTTTAAAAATAATACATGAAAATGATACATGGGAACCGACAGGAAAGCAAGATTTAACTGTAAAAGAATTTTATCTTCGTGCCAAACAGTATTTAGACTGTAGAAATGAAGACTGGGTAATGTATATTTAAATATTATTTGTTTTTTTAAATGTTAACTGGTAAAAAGTTTAATTCTTCATTTTAAAACCAATAGAAATATGTACTAACAAATATATATTTTTTTTTGTTTAAAAAAAAATTTCTATAAATTGAAAATTTATAAAATTTTAAATATCTCAACATAATTTACACATATTTCTATAATTTTTTATAGTTAAAATAAATTAACCCTAGTATAAAATATCATGTCACCTACAATATTATCAATACAAAAATTGTCATTTTAAATTTTATATAGCATATATGTACATTTATTATACACTAAAAATTATTGATATAACATTAAAATTATAATTTTAGGATAGACTATATGCTGCAAGTGATAAAAGTTATAGTGAAATTGGCAGATTTGTCATTATTACACACAAACATTATGTTGGAAATTTAGCTATTATATTATCAAGCAACACAAAAAAAATTCCACGAGAATTTCGGTAAATTAATACACTAATATTTTTATAACATTTGTATATTAAATGATTCTTTTTACAGTAAACGCTCCATTATCTCAATAAGTAATAACATTATTTAAAATTTTTTGCATAATTTGAAGTTATTATTAAAAACTAGTAGTATTTATTAGTTATCTAAACTACTTATAATTATTTTGTTAATAATTGTGATTACCAAAAAATTATAGAATTATTCTGTAATCACAATACCTGATTATTGAATTTTTTGAGGTATTTATAAAGGAACTAAATAATGATTTTAATTGTAGTTAAAACTGCATACTCGCATTTTCAAACCTGGTACACTTGTAGGGATTCACAAAGTTACTCAACAAAAAGAAATATAAAGGAACAATTCATCACGCATCAATAGTAATTTGAACAAATTTATGTGGCCTCAAACTCGGATCCATTTATTGAAATTTCTACAATATATAATTAATATATTGTGTTTTATTTAATTTATTTTATCATATTTTCCATTTTTAATTTTTATATAATTTATTCAAATAAATAGTTATATTTGTGGTAAAAATTTCCAAACTATTTAATAGGATCGATTTTAAAGCTTATTTTTTTATTCATAACAATTTAATATTCCAATATTAACATTTTCATATTCTAAAATATTTTATTAGTTTTTTTTTTGGTAATTGTGTTCAGCTAGATCCAGATTAAATTATAAAGCTGTCCTTATGCATTACATTATTAGTACTCCTTGTGAATTATGAGTTATTAAAACAACATTTATTTCATGTGTACTACTATCTGAATATGTAAAAGTTGTTGTTCTGAATCAAAAACTCCTTTTTACATAAATTTGGCCTTGTAAATAGATTTTTAAATGAGTATTTAATTTTTTACAACTTAAAAGTATTTAAATTTAAAATTTAAAATATGAAATGGAGTAGTATGTGGTACTCTAAAAAATGTTCCACATATTTGTTTTATTTCAACATTATATACTTAACTACTCATTCAAAATTTATTTTTATATATGAAAAAATGTCTTAAAAACATAGAATTTGAAACTAAAAATGTATTCTCAATTTAAAATTAATCTTCTTAAAAACTGGTATCACCATATTTTTTTTAAAAAAATTTTTTACCATGAATAAATTATGTATAAAAAAATTTTAAAATTGTTTTTATATTTTTCTAAGCAATAAGTGTTCAATAAGTGTTAACAAAGAATCACAAGATTCCCAGTTTATATAAATCCAAATTTTTTTTCAGAGTATTGGTATTAGACAACGATAAGGCAAATAAAGAAGTATCTGATGATAAAATGGATTCTTGGTATAAGTTTATATATTTATCTAAAAAAAGAAGATTATTAAATAAATCATTAGATGTAATTTCTAATAATGCCCATACCATTTTAAATATAACTTCAAATTCAATATTTGCAATCACTAAATTTTCTGGAAACTTTGATAATGATTCAATTATAAAAAATTGGGAAATGAGACAAAACGAACGTTTTAAGTATGTAAAATAAAACTATATTTTTCATAAATGTTTTAATTTAATTAACATTATAGTTATAATAGTAGTTATTATAATCAAGAATTTTAACATTTTATTTAGAGATGCTGCTATTTCAACACATTGTCAGAGAGCCATTACAATGTTATCAGAAAAAACATTACTTTTAAATCGAGCAGAAAATGATGATTCAGTGATAAGTTTGTTAGATCTAGGAATTGATAATTTTGAATTGCACAGAACTATGTTACATATGCATGCATTGGAAAATCAAGTGTACAATATTGATTTGTCTGACATTATTGCATTTGAAGAAGTTGTAATTATATTTTTATACTTAACAAATTATTTCCAACATTATATTAATGATTTACTTATAGTTTAAATGAATAAGAAATCAGAAATATTTAACCCAATTTATTATAATTATATCAGTCCAGCATGTACTTAATTAGTAAACCTTCTTAAGAGAATATCAGCTACATAATATTCATTTTCTGTCTAACCCACGCATAACAAAGAAAATTTATGTTCAGCAGTGTCAACTATGTGTTGTTAGCTTTAGATTATATCTAATTGACCTATTATTAAACTTTAACTTAAGAAGATGTTACACCCTCATTTGTTATTTCCGTTTTACAAGTGTGTAGCATATATCAATAGAGATTTAAACCAGATTTAACATAGATTATGTTCTTCATTCCAAGTATGATAGTAGATTAATTTGTTCTAATACTATACTAAAGTTATCAACTCAAGGTTGGTTTTCTTGAACACAGATTTATTTTGTTAAGCAGTGGATCAAATAATGCCAGATTTTTTTTTAAGTATTTACCATTTAAGAACAAAACATTTTGAAATTTAGTTCTCAAAATTATATGAATATCAAACAAGAATAGAAAGAATAGCAGAATTACAACACCAAATATCAAATAAAGCGTTACAGTTATATAATGAGTATATTAGCAAAGTAGAAATTCTCAAAGAACTAAAATATATAAATCCAAGGAATGAAATAAGTTAGTAATTGTTAATTAATAATCATTATCAATGGCCATAAAAATATACAATGGTTTGAATTTTCTAATTTCAGCTACCCAAAAAGGGAATGTAGCTGCAACTATGGGATCACATGAACTTTTGGTAACGGAACTGTTATTATGTAATATGTTTGAAGAAATGAAACCAGAAGAAATTGCCGCTGTTCTTTCATGTTTAGTTTGTGAATCCAAATCAAATATTGATTTAGAACAAATTAAAGAAGAAAATTTGATAATTGTATTAATTAAATTAACAAAAAATGTTCTAATATTGATTTAACATCAAACTATTTTTATTTTTATTTTTTAGGGAATGAATTTAATAAAACAAAAGCATGATTACATTCAATCAGTTGAATCAAATTATTTGAGCAATTATGAACGTGTTAATCTCAACTTTAATTTAGTAAAAGTGTTGTATTTATGGGCTCAAGAAAAGGTAACTTAACTAAATTAATAACAACATTGACAAGTTTAACAATTTTTTTTTATTTTTACTTGTCCTTAGCCTTTTTCTGAAATAATGCAAATAACAGATATTCAAGAAGGAATTATAGTTAGGTGCATAGTTCAATTAAATGAAATTTTAACTGTTATTAAAAATGCTGCAAAAATGATTGGTACCAACAAGATAAGTGAAAAAATGCAAGAAGTACTTGACAAAATCAAAAGAAATATTGTATTTACTCCATCTTTGTATATGGAATAAATTTTAAAATATTTTAAAATAAATTTAATTGTTTACCTATAAACAGACAAATAAATATAACATAAACAAACTAGATTTACTGATAACCTATTTTATATATTTTAATATTATTCAAGTTAACAATAAATATTAATTCTTCATTCTCAAATTAACAGTATTCAATTTTTGATTTACATATAATACAGATGTGTTAGTGATCACAAATATCAATTAAACTATTATAGGTATTAATGGTATTATAATTTAAAGCAAGAATTGTATTACTTACATTTCAGAGCAATACAAATTTTAATGATTAACTAATTATCATTATTGAATAATTAATATTTTAATTTTAATAAAGTATAATAGATAAGTATAAAGTCAATCAAATTAGTAACATTATTTTAATGACATAGTGCTACTAACTATTAAACAAAAAACCAGAGGTAACCTCCAGATAATGGCAAAAATTCATATCAAAGAAAGTTAACAAATGGGTTTAGTTGTGAGTGAAAAAAAGGCAATATACATGAAACTATCCCAGAAAGAATACCATTCATTATGGTTTGTAGGTTGAATACACAGAATTTTATATGGTAAAAAACTTCAAATATCTAGTAGTGATATTAAATTCTTCAGACAATAAACATAAGGAAATCCAAAATAGAATAAAAAAAAAAATGCATATTAGTGTCAACCAAATCAGAGGTAGTTTTATTGAGTAATTGATACACCTAATAACGTAATAATTTTATAAGTTTCACACATGAAACATAGGCTACGACTAGCGCTTGAATAATGTTATAACGCAAGGGATTTAAAAAATATATATGCATCCCTTCTAATTATATCGTAATCAACAGACATTTTAATATTCAGGTACGAGCATTTTTTTTAAACTTCTACATTTTTATCTTCTAATGTTTTTCTAGTTCAAGAACTAGCTACAATGAAAACTGATGAACTAAGTATATAAAAATTTAAAAGAAAGACATTAAATCAAAATTTTAGGTCTAAAAGAAAACAGAACATGGGAGAATACGAACAAAGAAATATTGAAGTAATAAATATGTAATGACTCAAGACATAGTGGCAATAAATTAAAGCAAATCAAACTGGACAGGACACGTATGGCGGGGCCAGGAACAGAAACAACCAACAACTAATTAAAAAAAATCACCAAATTAATAACTGAGGTAAAAGACCACTATGTCATCAAGGACAAAGATTGAGTAATGGGTGGGACGAATCAAAAGTCCTTAAAATGTTGAACATTGAATAATGAACAAAGTAGTGATGAGATAGCAACAGATGCAGATTAGTAGACACTGACGTACCTACACAAATATATACTAAGATATTATATGCATTGATTTCAAAAATAAATAAATTTGTATCAAGGAGCAATAATTTTTTTTTAATAGGTAATTAGTTAATAAAATGACAATTGAGTAGTAATTTATATGAAGTGGTAAATGGTAAGAGTAGGCGCGGAACCGAACAAGAAACAATTATTACAATTATTTGTCAGTAAATTTTGTTATTCAGATCCTTTAAAATTAGATTTAAAATTTTAAATCGTCGAAGGACATAAAATATAAAAACTAAGAAATTTCATGTCTGTGGTTGGTATTATGCTTTAATGAAATCATTCTGTGCTTCAACTCTTTCAACATCATAATCACTTATCAGTAATCAGTGAAATTGACTACGTATCAGTCATCCATCGTTCATGGTGTTTATTGTTTTCGCGTTTGTCGTATTTCTACCAGTGTTTCAATTCTCGGATTATTTTTGTAAACTGGATTACGGAGTTATGAAAATAATGAAAAGCCATCAATCGACGGTCTACACACATCTTAGAAACTTAAAGGTGAGTCAATGCATTTTCTTTCGAATCTTGTTTCTCGACGCACTCGAACTCACAGTTTGTCTGCTTATTGGCCTTATTCCACACCATATATCAAGGCCAAAGAACAATAATAATAATAATATTGTATGGTGTCCAAATCCCGTGTAATTATTATGAACAGCTTATACTTTGTCGGTAGGCAATGTTTCTTCATTATTATTATTCAATTAAACAGAATTTTATAATGATAATTCGGTACATTTTTCCTTAGTCGAATTGTGTCATAGCCAAAGCGTATTCTTAACCAGAATCAGTTATCCAGCAACGACGTTCAGTAACTAACATCTACATCTTCTAGTCAATCAATTCCTATTGTCAACATGAGTTCAACGGATCGTTCAATATCATCTGGGTTCCCAATTCCTCAGTGGATGAAATCTAAAATAAACGATCGGTTAGTTACTTTATGTATTTTCTGTGTAGTAATATTCACTTAATATTTGCAATCAGGATATTATCAAAAAACCAATGTAAAAGTTAAATAATTTAATATAAACAAAAGTTATTATTTATAATTATAATCAGTAGGTATATAACTGAATAATAATAAAATCAAAGTAATTAAAAAAATAAAACTATTGTATTACAATGTTGTAATAATTGTAAACAGTATCTTTAAACTTAATTTTAGTTTGATTCAAAATTGTGAAGTTTACAAATTATACATAATTATTTATCTTATTTTCTTTGGATAAATGGAAACTAATAACTTATTTAGGTGTTTATGTTTTCTGTACAATTTAATAGACATGTAAACTAAAAATAAAAACTTACAATACAATAAATTGTAGTAGTGTTGCAATGTATACAATTTACTATAGGAACATTTATCAATTTTTATAGTTTGCTTAATTAATTAAAATACCTTTATAATTATAAAACATTTTAAAATTATTAATTTGGTAGTAATTGATTCAATTATATTTAATATTAAGTATTGATTTAAATGAATAATAATGAGACAATTAATCATGTTTCTGTGTCTCAAACTCTTAAATACTTTGTTTTATTTGTGATTCAAAATTACAAAATCTGTTGGCCATAAATAAAAACATATAAATATTAATCAGTTTTTAAATTTATTTTATTCAGGTATTTGAGAATACATAAATATATATCTGTTTACCAATTTAATTTTAATAAATAAAAGTATTTTATTTGCAATTATAATTTTTTTTTATAAGGGGGGGGGGGTACCAAGATACTAAAAGTTAAATTTAAAATATTAGGATCATGCTCATAAAAGGTTAGAAACTGCTGATTTAACATCTCTTAAAAAATATTGAAATATGTTTCCTACAATTTGAACTTAACTATAACTGATTACCTCATAGAAGTCTAAGAACATAATTTTTATTTTTATTTTTACCTATTAATTTTAATATTATAGCCTATATAAAATCATAAATAACAATAAGAATAAATTATGTTATGTTATTTAAAAATAATATTTTTATATTATAAATCATCTATTTTTTGTAATTTATGAATAGAAATTATATTTGAAACCAAATATATTATTAAATAAAATAATGTCTCTGTTTACATTATTAAAAAAGTTAGTTTTTTAACAAAACTATACATAATTTTTTATATTCTACATAAAATATAGTCATAGAAATTAAATTACTATACAAAAATAACTAAAAATAATTTTAGTATTAAATTTGATTCTTAATAGTTGAATTTTAAAATGTTGAAGTAGGTAACCAACTATATCAACAACATACTAATAAGTATTATTACATTTTATTTTTTTATCTAATTCCCTGAATTGTTTGTAGAAAAAAATATATGTTATGCAATAACAATAAAATTCTTTCTTAGATAACATTGTAGACGTCATAAACATTTATAAATTATAATAATAATAACAGTATCTAAATATTTTTAATTTTTCCATCAGATAAAATAATACTTTATTTTCGTATTCATCATACTTTCCATACTTTCAAGCATAATAGATATGTATGCTTTATATGATTTATTCAGCTAGTAGTAAAACAATGAACACGGTAGAGCTTAAAGTATCATAACATCCATATAGTCATAACCCTTTTCCCAAAATACTTTTGATATTATTTGTTCAAATATTTAATAAATATATTGTAAGGTATTTGAATAATTTGTAGAGAAATTACAACATTTTTAACCTTTCCCTTTGTTAAGCTTTGTCTTAATTTTATGTTCACAAAAATATGTAATATACTTAATTACTCTTTATTAATAAGTAAAAGTAACTGTAAAACAAATTACAATGAAATTTCTATAATTTAACATTTAATACATTCTTTTTGTGTACACACAATGATCTTTAAACTTAGTAATGAAATGAGTTATAGTTAAGACATCAAAATTTCTTTTCTTCATACTCTGTTCAAGTTACAAAATGTTTTCTGTAGTTGATTTATATACTATGGCATGGTATTCTTACCTAGCAATTAAATTGATGGTTGATGACTAGAACAAGTTCAGTTTATAATTTGAATGGAATATACATACCACTTAACTACTCAAGTATACCTATTATTTAAAACAGTATTATTATGTTAATATATACCTTGATCAAACATAATTAATGAATGTTTTTTAGAGGTATTAATAATGGATAATGCTATATTAGATAAAACATATATCAAAGAACTTAATAATCATAATTGATGGTGATTATAATATGAATACATTTATTTTTACAACAAAATGTTATTGAAATTTGTAAATTAATAGAATGAAAATTAACACATCCCATTAAAATTAAATATAAAATAAATAATTAATTTTGGTAAAAAATTCAGTAATAAACTAAGATTAATAACTTCTATACATTAGTTTTATTTTAAATATAGAACATATAAATATAATTTTAATTGATTTTTAGTATGTTAGCATATGATTCATACTTATCATTTTTAATTTTCCTATAAATTAATATGTATAAGATATGCTAATACATTCACAAAGAAAATTAAATAGTAGTTAACTAATTATTTAAATGTATAATTAACCATTAGGTGATAGTTATATTACATTTATTAGCATTTTTTTTTAAGCAATTTTGCAATATTTTTGGTAATTTTTCTTTGACATTGATATCATTGGCCAACACTAGTTTTTAGATTATATGTGAAACTGCGAATGCATTGTTTTCTAAAATTATGTAATTAGTTTTTTTTTTTTTTTTATCTTATGATAAGTACTTTTTAGAACAAATAAATTTGTTTTACTTTAAATTAAAAGCAAAAATTTCTAGTACTTTTCTAAATAATCTAGAAAAATTAAAACACCAAAAAAAAAAAAATATATATATGAATATTTACACAATATTAATTTTCAATAGAATCAATTTTATTTTTTTGTTCAAAATATATTATACTTAATCTATTTATAATATTCTATGTATATCAGAGTAGAGTTATAGTACATGCTACTTTTATATTTCTCGTACATAATTATTAGTAGTAACTGTTGCTCTATTACTATTCACTCACACAAAATAACAATGTGTATATTATAAATTATAATATATAACTTTCTTAAGTATTATATTTCTTATAAAATAATTGTAATTACTTGAGTTGTGATGATAATAGAATATTTATTTAAATACCTAGGATTTAGAATATCAATTACAAATAACTTATCATTAACTACCTATACACTTTTCAAAATGTTTATATTCCATAATTTCTGCAATAATTTATAATTTGTACAGAGGTGCCTATTATCTGTCTTTAACATTAATCCATTAATATGTAAATTTTCACATTAATAATAGACAATTAAAACAGATTATGTCAAGAGTAAAGAATACAATATATGTATTTTTTCTTTATATTTCACTATCATAAACTTTTCCGGCTTCTTGAACTAATTAATAATATTATATTATGTATATAAAATATCTATTAATCATATTTAACTTAAAAATGAAGTATTATATAGATTCACGAATGCACAATGCGTGACTCAAATTGAAAATACTTAAGCCTTAAATAACTAATTACAATAGTACATGTATGTGCATAAAAATACATAATCAACACAAAATCCTATGTTATGAAAACTATAATTTTCAAGTAGTTATACGTGACTGATTATTAAAGTTTATTCTATTTACAATATCTTCTAATTTTATTAATTTTTTAAGTGAATTATTGAGTAGACTACTTAATATAATTAAATTTAACTGATAACTTGTTTTATATAAATTTATATTTTTAACTTTACTGTTTCATTTAGGTATGACTTAGACCAATCACTCGATCAATCATCATTTAATCCGCAAGAAACAGACGACAGCTTCTTTTTGATTCGTTATTTAAAACCAGACACAGTAAATCAAAAACGCAGCGATAGCACTAAAAATAAACCAAGTGAAGAAAATTTAACAGAAAAAAAAGTTCAAAATTTAAAAAATATGCCTCCAGCATTAATTGTTACAGAAACACCAGAATATAAGGGCCATACAATTGCTTGTCAACGCTTTATCACAAATACTTGTGCTGGTAAGTTTATATGTATATATTTTAAGGTAAAATATTAAACAATTTATTAATTAGTGTTTAAACTATTTTAAATAATTATAAATACGTTGAAATTAGTATCCTAATCGTTTCCAATTTCATCCAGATCCAATAATATATAATATGTATGTCCTTCCTTCAATAAATTATATTTTAATAGAAAACATTGCTTTAAATTGTTGTTAGCTTTATTTTCATACTTCTTTTTAGTATAACTAAACTCAAAATCTGCTTTTAATTATTATTATTAACAGGTTATTCTAACCATAAAACTAAGTAATACTTATTTATAATAATTTTTTTTATTAATATTTTATTTTGAACAAACTAATGATAAAATATTTTTCTTAGATTAAGTGCTAGATATAAGGGTACATATTAAATAGAGTAGATAAGTTTAGGTGGCTTAGATTGGGATTCTTATAGTGTTTATTAATTGTAATTATAACAAAGTAACTAAAGTTAGAAAACAAATCCCAAGTTAAATATGTGTTTGAAAATATTTAAATTTAAGGATGAATAGTTTTACAATTACTCATTGAATAGTCTATTAGTCATACCACTGTCAAGGTCAATCTTATGAATATTTTTTTAATTCAATTTATAATTGGTATTGTACAATTAAATATTATTTAATCCAATCCTTGATTAATTAATTTTTATAAATATATACAAAATACTTAATAATATTTTTTTTTAAATTCTAAAGAAATATCTAACGTTTGATTCAAAAACTGATATTTAACAAACATTGCCTCTTTACCTTTAAATTATCAACCTTGAATTTAGTTCCTTTTTTTTTATGTTATGTAATATATTTACATAATTTATAGTAAAAAAAAAATTAATGATAATCTAAAAAATATAATTTTAATTTAGAAGCAGAACATTTTAATACTTTCAAAGCTATTTACAACTCCCCCCTCCAAATAAAAAATAGTATTAATAATAATAACAATAACTTTTTGAAAATACTACCTAATATTGTTATCAACACTCAAAACTTCTGATTCTTTTCTCATTTATACTAAAAATAATTATTTTAAAATGTTTTTAATTCGTTAGATGTTTGAATAATTAATATCAAAAATACTTTTTTTATAATAATTTGAATTAAAAATTTGTAAAATTCACGAAAATATATAAAATTTATAATTTTAATTTTTTAAATCTAAAGTTTGAAAAATTAAAACAAAATTCTTTCATTAGTTTTAAACTTAACGATGTATTAAAATCTGAAAAAAAGTTTAGTGAAAACCATTTTGATTTGTCGTTTTAGAGGACAGGATTGACATTCAAATATGTAATAATAATATCTCTTCTTGATCAATATTTCATAATTATTTAAATTCGCATTTTCTACATACAATAAAATCTCAAAATATTTAAAATAATTTCAAGCCATTTATTAATTTATTTAGGCAATTAAAATATTCGAATGTTTTTAATTTATTTTAAATTCTGAATGATAAATGGAATTTAATTACAATAATTTGTTATGTTTCTATCGATCATCAACTTTTGAATCAGTTAAATTGCTTAGATATTCCACTTAAATATCTTTTTCAATAGGATTTTAAATCTAATTGGTAATTTGGAGGGTCTTAATTGGAAAAACCTAAAATTTTTACACAAAAACGGTTTTTGACAAAAATAAATTTTCTTGTTTAACTGCAAAAACGTAAATCGTAGGTACCTACTTGAAATTTTCACCAAAAGTTTATATTACTTTTCATATATGAAATAATTTTTGTAACATTAAATATATTTTACATATTTTGGATTCAAAGCAAAGCAATGAATGTATGACAATTTTATAATTTATACAATGATTTGTGTGTGTGTGTGTGTTAACACGATAATTTGTCGACAAAAGGCTTGAGTTTTCAACACTGAGCGTGATTTTGGATGGAAGTTGGATCTAGTTTATGTTTATAAGAGGTCATAATTCAAAATTCACAATTTTTTTCAAAATAATAGGGAAAAACAATTATATTCATTAATCATTATGGTATAGCATCCGTTTCATTATTTTGGATCTGGATAGTATTTTTATTGTTTAATTGTTATTTTTACTGTGATTAAATAAAACAGATATATTTATGAACAGTATTAAATATTTATGCGTAATATACGTATAATATGTACCTGCTGTAATTATTACTGATGCAATTATACCTAATTATGTTAAATTGAAACGTAATTTTTGATATCATTTAGATTATTTAAAATTGCCAACTATGATTTGTATTATACTAATAATTAAACTTTGAACTTCAAATAATCAAATGATTCATGGCCCATAGTCCATACTGTCTAAATAAAATAAAATATGTCGATCAGCTTATACCATTTTCTACTACGCAAACATGATTTAACCTGTGAAAATACATGATATTATTTTGCTGGTATTCCGGAAAATTATTTTCTAATTTATCATAATTTACTGTAGTTAAATAAAAGCCGACATTAAGTTATTCGTATATTTTAATTTCATTATTTTTTCAGATAATTAGTTATCTATAACAATTAAAATTTCATTACACTGTTACGTATTATTTTTTAAAACATTAAAATTTAATGTTTAATTGTGGATCTCGGGGCAGAATAAAATTGCATTATCATCAATGACGACATATATATAAAGGGACTGGTGTGCATATTTTTCGGTACCTCTAAACAATAAATAAAAAAATATGCAATAAAAAAAAAAAAATCCCTACTCTAAAACAGCCAAGTTATGAATATCAATCATGCACACGACACGTGGTTGTGAGTCATCCATTACTAAGTAACTGTTAATTAAAAAATTAATACTATTATCGCACTACTAAAATGATAGTGTAAATAGAGTAACCAAGAAAAAAACGAGCTTAAAGATTTTACAACTTTTTATATTAGTGTAGTGAACTGAATATGTAAATATTCTAAATCGTTAACTTTTTGAATATATTCAATTGCAATAATATGTTATTTTGAAATACTTAAAATCTAATAGGTACATTATTACAAGTGTGCTACAAAATACAGTAGGTACCTATTTGTGTAATCTAAATAAATAAAATAATTAATAACACAACACGTTATATAACTTGTTGATAATATTCTTGTTAACGTCTGCACTATAATTATTATTTTCCAACACTTTAAGAGGTGAAATTTCTTTTTAAATATTCTTATAATAAAGCAGTGACAAGCTATCTCCGCTCCATTGTAATCTTTCGTAAAATGACAATGGTAGGTACTTACTACTTATCCATCAGCCACCATAAGTAAAATCTAAATGAATAACATAATGATGCGTATCTTTATTATTATAAATTATGAACAATTATATAATTTTCCATTTAACAATTTTGCATCAAAAATTAGTATACACATTATTTTTTTAACTTATCAACTTGAATTTATTTTTATTGTATCTATAAAAGCACGGGGTTTGTCCAACCGTATTGAATGTGAGAGGACTAGGGTCCACCTATTCTTGCCCTGGAATTTACCTGGGTGTAAAACAAACACAGAAGAGACCTTCAAAATATGTTAATACCATTAGCAAAAATGTTGGTCGAACAGTTCTCTTGTAATGAAATTGGAGTTAACCGCCCTATAATTAACCTTGAACAACCTCGGCATTAAATTACAGAAATAAATCTTTTAATTATAATCAAATGTTCACATCATTCCTGTAAAATTAATAATTTTACTCAAAAAATAAATAAGTAAATAAAATAATGTATATAATATTAATATATATTATCCATTACATTAAATGATTATTTTATAAATGAAATACGTGATTACCTAATGTTAAACTTAAACATTATTATTAAAAAAATGTTCATTACGTTTTATTTAATTTTTAATTAGATGATAATTAATAGGATATGTAAATACTTACGACTGTGAATTGTGTTGGGAATCATCTTTAATTGATAGTAATAATAATAATTTAACATTTAAATATTATGATTATTATAAATTATGATACATAAAATATTTACCTTTTCAAAAATACATTGATTTTTAACTATCTACAGTAAAATAAATAATTAACTTATCATTTTAAAAATTTTATAGATGCAGTGGCTGCAGCAAGTTTGGGTGAAAATGTAAATGACCCTCCAAAATCATTAGGGATTGACGATGGTTTTAAAAGTGGAGCTTCTGAATGTGGCAAATCTATTGTGGCAATGGCACACCAAATGGTGTCTGGGCGGAGAGCATATCAAGGTCGTTCATCGGGTCCACAAGATATGCTTGTCGTAGGACCTTCTCCATCAATGTTATCTAAACGACGTAACAGCAAATCGCTTCCTGCAAGTCCTATAAGTTCACCACCTGGGTCACCACGTTCAATTCGTAAAAATCCATATTTCACAGCACCATTTCAAGAAGAATCTGGAGATAAACAAGGCTCATCATGGATATTATCAAACTTATTTTCACACAGAGCTGATTCGCAAGAAGAATTATCTGATAAAGAATATAAGAAATTCCCTAAACCATTGTCTTCTAGCAATTTATCTATAAAACCCAAACCTTCAGAACTAAGAGAAATGAATTTCTGGACACCTACATCAATGTAAATATTTAAGCTCAACAAAAAAATTATTTTGATTTGTGAAGATTTTCCGCACTTTTGGTTATATTATTAATTTGTGTTTTGGCATTGTTGTATGTGTAATATGTATCCTTATTTTTCCTTATAATCTCCTTAACTTAGTACCTGTAAAAATTATTTTTAATTTTAAGTTTTCATTGTTATTTTCTCTTTTCTTTTTTTATTTAATTTTAGAATATTAAGTATCAAAATAATAATGATATGAAGACAATACATCGTTTAGTGCACATCATATATATATATATATACATATAAGTAATATTTCTATTTTAATATCCATAATTTCTATTCTGACAATTATTTTTGTTCTCTAATCTCTCCTAAAAGTTTGTACCTACCTATACATTTTATTGTTACTCGAGTATTAATAAAACTCATATATACAATTTTATTTACTATTGAATGTACATAAATATATCTTTGACATTGCCATTATAACATATTATATTTAATATTGTAAATGGTCAATTGAAAAAGTGTTGCGTGCTATAGTGCAAATGATATTGAAACATAGCAATCTATTATATCTATATTAAAATAAAATTATTTTGCGTATTGTGAATTGAATTATATTATATAATCAATGATAACAATTTAAAAACATTTAATTACTTGTTTGAATGAATGAGCTATATTTTAATATAAAAAAAAAAATTCCTTAATTATCTAAGGTCATTATTGTTCATCAATTTAAACTATAATACACATATTATAGTAAAGAGAGAAAAGTATTTTTTTAGTATTTAACGAATGTTAAGTTGTTAGTCCTTCCTTGCCACAATAATACAACTATATTTCCGCCTGTGGTTAAGATATATTAAAAATGATTTAAGACCCTGTTTAATTAATAACATTTACTTACATTTTATAGCTGTTAGCAACAATATTAATTATTGTTATTACCTACTCATTTTTTAATTTTTTTTTTTTAATTAAAAAATCTGATAAATATAGGTATTTTACAGTAATTGAATGTAATGTGTCAGAAAAAAAAGGAGATGTAATTCACTGAAAGAAAAAAATCTCCCAGTAGAAAAACTTTGAATGTATGGTTTTAATGCCAAATAGTTAGGGCAGATGGATCGAGATTACCTACTTGATTTATTGGTACTTAAACTTGAGATATTAGGATTCTTAAGAGGACGCCGCACCCGCATATGTTATCTCTGTCTTACATACATACGAGTCATACAACATAGCAAATTTTCGTTCAGCAGAATCCATTTTATGCTGTTAGCTTTGACATTTGAGTAAATTTACCTATTATCAAACTTAAAGGTAAGAATTTTATCTAGGCAATGACAGGATTTTATTGATATTTTAATTTTAAACTGAGCCTATAGCTATATAAAATATTGAAACTTTAAAATGCTCGTAACTCACTTTAAAAAATATAATATCAATAAAAGTCTATGTCATTGACTAGATACAATTTTTACGTTTAAGTTTGATAAAAGGTAAATTTACACTAATGTTAAAGCTAACAACATAAAATGGATTCTGTTGAACGAAAATTTGCTATGTCGTATGTATGTAAGAAAAAGCCAACTTGTGCGGGTGCGGTGTCCTCTTAAAGTTGAATTGGAAAACATTGAAAGATTAATAATTGATGTTTTTCAATACTTGTGTCTTTTTTCATAGAAATAATTCATTAAGAGTTACTTACATATGTATGGTATTATATTGACGCTTAACAATATACAATAAAGTATTATTTAGCATTTATTATGTCTATGTGTATTGATATATTATAATACTTTTGCATTAGTTTATTTTAAATAAATAAATAAACATTACAATATTATATTATTTTACATCAGTGATTAAACATAGGACAGTAGCTCAAGTTATTTAAGCCGGGTAAATGGTAATTTATGCATTATCAACATCCTAATGGTTTTCGGTCATTGTCCATTGACTAAAGTTCAAATTGCACGACATGTCGTCATAACGTGAAGTAATTACTTCAAGGTGATATAAACGATTTTAGACTACAAAAAAATATAATTTTAGCAACAACCGTCGGAATTAAGCGAATAGACATAATTTAACTAAATAATTAAGAATAAACGCCATACACGAAAAGACAACACATTAAACAAAAACGTTTCTAAAATAGGTATGTTCACGACTATAAAATAGTCATTATCAAAGAAAGAATAAAGATTGTTTTAAATATATCATTACCACAATATACACACGGCATACTTATAAATAAGAAAGAAGTTCTAAAAAAAAAATGTTTGCGTTGTTTTTATAATATTTGAAACTGCCAATTTACGCAGTAATCACGTGTCACGAAAAAATTTATTTTTACACGCAAATGTATCACCACAAGAGGATTGCATTATCAGATAAAAATAGATTTCTCACTTGTTACACGTGCAATTTTGAATATAATGAAAATATTAAAGTAGGTAATATAAAATTATTGTTTTAATTAATTAAACGTTTTTTAAACGTAATTGCAAGCTATCTTTCAAAATAATGGAGTTAATGATATTCCCGTAAAGTATGATTTTAATTTTAAATAATTGGGCAATCTTTCTTGGACCATTAAGAACCTAAATATTTTAATTCTTTGCATTTTAGTTAAAAAAATACATTGTACTCAATAAAAGTAATGTCAAAAATATTATTTATAAATGTCTAATTTTAGTAGACTTAAATAATGTATGTAATTTATTACTTAACATCAAAATAATTAACTATGTTTTTATCCATCACTCTTTTCATGGTTTTATTTTCTTCTTTATTTCCATTTCAAGCTTAGCTTATAAGAGATAGATAATCATTTAATTTTATTTAAAAAAAAAAGTATATTATGTACTAAAATTATGATTGAAAAAAAAACAATAATAATAGTTAAATACCAAATGGGCCAGATTGAAATTTTCATTACGACACTAAGGTAATGTAAAAACTACTGCTAAATAATAATATGAATTCTGAATACAATTTAATATTTTATGAACCTACTAAAATTATTATTATGATTAAGTATATATTTACAGAATTACCTAAGATTAAATGTATCAAAATATGGTCTGAAACAATAAACAATTAAACTATTCATTAAGCAATCATTTGATTTAATTAAGAGTAGTCACTTAGTTGTCCATTTCTATCATCAGATTATTTGGGTTTAAACATATTCATTCAATGTTTTAATATACCTAATAAAATAATCAAAAAAACAACATACTAGCTTTGCATAAGATTTTGACCATAGACAGCTACACTGTTAAATAACACACACTATGTCAATGGACTTTGGATATTGGATTGTACAGTTAGGTATTAGCATACAGCAATAACTGATAGTAAGATTAATAATATCAGTATTTTATTACATAATTCTTATTCTTAAATGTTTGCATCGTTTTATAATTTAATAATCAAACTTGTAAATAATAAAACCAAAATAACAAAAACAACAAAAATATTTTTTGTTATTATTAAATCAAAAAAATAGTAAATATTCCAGCATTTTTCACTTAAAATAGAAAAATTACATTGGCAAGTATTTAAGTGCGTTTTAATCTTGTAACATTTAACAAAAAAAACAATACAATGCATAAAATACATGACAATAAAATAAACTTAACACACAATACAAATAAGACTGTTACAAAATAATAATCACATATTAATAGTTATGCTTTTGATAAAGAAATATTTCATTTTTTTTTTTTTTTTTTTTGTAATAAACATTTATACAACATTAACCACAATTTTAGTAAATATATTTAAAATTTTATCTCAATCGACTGTATACAATAATCAGAACTATAATACAATGTATAATTCTTATTTAAAGAATATAAACTGTTTAGTTAAATTTAAAAATAAAAAAAGTTTTATGTGGTGCTGGGTTTATCACATATTGAACACAAACATGACACAAAATTTCATATTAATGTAAATCTATACTTTTAAAATGTTTAATATTCTTATTTTTAATGAGCATCTTCAATTTTACAAGGGTTTAAAGCCTGCAAAACACTTCTGAAATAATTACTTTTACAAAACTATCATAAAACTATCTAATCTACTTCAAGTACCAGATTTTAAGACATATACTAATTATTAACAACTCTTGAAAATACAAATATAGTTTTAATGATATTTACTATAAAACTATTTTACTATATAATTTCCCAAATATTTCAAATGAAATAAATAAAATAGAAATGAACAATAGTTTAGATATTTTAATATATTAAATATGGTAAACATTTTTAATATACCTTAAAAATTAAAGTAGACCTATAATCTGGTACAATAAAATAACTAACTTTGATGTCTGTTTTTAAATAAAAACATAAAATACATTTTTTATTATGTTGGAAGAAGCATAATATGTTAATAAATACAATGCTAAGTGATATAAACATAATTACGAAGCCCAATTTAATGGAATTTAATTTAATACTCATAAAAAAAGGTATCTTTATATTTGTTATTTAATAAAATGAGCAAACTCGTGTTATTATCACATTTCTCTGAGTAGGTAACTAGATTTTTCCAACAGAATCTATTAGTAACTTAACCCTTTTGAATTAAAATTATGTACTTATTTATAAAATAAAAATTATATAAAACTAAATTAACATTTTAAAATAATTTTTATGGTTTAAGAGCAACAATACATTAAAAAAATACAATACTAAAGCAGTGATCTTTAAATGTAAAATGATCACAGATAAATATTTGTTAATTATGAATTTAAACTTAAAACCTAAAAAGCATAAGTTAAATGTTTATACCTTAAATAACAAAGCAGATTTCAAAAGAAACAAATATATCAGTGCTATTAATTTAAATCATTAAAAAGTTTGCAATTTTATATTTATCAATATTGAATTAGTATTATTATACAACTTTAAGTAAGAGTTATATTATTAATAATTAAATTATTTTAATAAATCCCAAATATTATTTTAATTAGAAATATATTTATATTATGCCATATCAAACTAAACATTTAAATAACTAAGTTATATTTTGATTTAAATTAAAAATGAATCACTTCAGAGAATAAAAAATTAATTATTTTCAGATTTGTTTCTCAATAAAAAATAACATGAGTTAAAACATTCATTTTTTGGTTTAATTTTAGCAACTAAATAAAAAAATATTAAACTTTAAAATTGACATTTAAAAACTTTAAAGCTGAATATTATCATTAATATTAATAAGTGCTCCTTTTCAAAGTAAAAAAATAGAGTTTTGATTTTTTAATCATATACTCATATCAGATTAAATCACAATATAAAGAATATAAAATTTGTCACACAATAGTCAATTAATTCTGCTTTATAATAACTTTTTTATATTTATTATTTTTGGAGTACAAGGAAATAATATTAAACAATTTAAAAACTAAAAATAACAGGGTACAATTCTAATACATGCTTAAACTCAATATTGAATTTTATCACTTTATTAAAATATAGCCATTTAATATTTTAAAAACTGTCAGTTTTTTTTTTTTTTTTTAACAACTGAATTTAGATTGGACATTTAAATATTAGTCAAAAATATATTTATATATTTATTACATACATATATAAATATATTTAATACCACAAATAAGTGTGTAAGACGACAAAACTTTAATGGCATATTCTTATATTTCCCCCGAAAAAAGCAATAATTTAATAAGAACAAATCATAAACGACATAAACAGTAATTTTAAATGCTTTTATAATTATTTCTCATTAATTTTAAATCGCAACATTGATTAATAAAATGATGAACATTGAACTAAAATTATTGAGCTTTCAAATTTAAAAATACACAATAATTCATAAAAATATTTAAAAATGTTATTATGAATGTATATAAAATTGAGTTTTTTTTTTTATATATATTGTTTATAGAATTTAATTTTGTTTTTTAAAGATTATTTTAGTAAAAATGTATATAGTTATTAAAAATAGTAAGTTAACTTACTAAATATTTAATAGTACTAAAATGAAATGGTTCTACTCAATCAAATGTACACACACATTATCATGCAGTTAAACAATATGCCTTTTCTTAACAATATTAAACACATAATAATTAATAAGTAATAATAACCAAACATAGTTACATGATAGTAAAAATATATGCTCAAAATAGGCAAAAAATATAATAAAAATAATAATAACAAATCAAAATTATTTCGACAAAACACATAACAGTTACACTTTATAAGGATAAATCAAGTCATTAAAAATTAAAGTATCAGTAATGATACTATTTATATTGAAAAAATTAACATACTTTCCAGGAAGTAGTAGGATTTTATAATTGACTAATAAATGTATAATCATTAATCATAGTATTAAAAATAAAAACAACAGATACAATAATAACATTAATGACTCTTTTGGTGGTCAACTTAATAATAATAAGAGTTAATTGGCGAACTTAAATAATATCTAAAGTTAATAACTTACATAAAGACTAGTTTAATGATACTTAATTTTTGGCAACTATAGCTCATCTAAGCCACCCCGTCGTGCACCTAATTTGGTTTTCTCCAGAACTTTGTTCACAAATTCTGTAGTTTGTCCGGCAACTTTTAATTCTAAATAAGAAAAAATAATATAAAAATTATTAGTATACTAGTTTGAAATATTTTAATAATAAGTACAGATAGTGGCATAATTACAAAGGATTTTGCAAGTGGTAAATCACCCAGTAAAAATTTTTTTTTTGTTCTGTTAACTCGTTTTTTTATTTAAAATATGTATAATATTTATAATTTTAGTTCAAAAAACCCAGTCAATTTTTCTAGGAATAAAGGTTGATCGCCAATAAATAATCAGAAAACAATTGTTAATTATTATTATATATATATTGAAAAGTGACCATTATCGGTCAATTGTGATAGTAGGAATAGTTTATTATACCTGTCTTTTATAATCAATTACAACTTCACTGTCGACGACCGTTGACAGTTAAGACAAATAGAAAACAATTAATCTCCTAAACCTAGATGTTTATCACCAGACTTGAAATGTCAAATGTAGTTCACTGAATCGAAAAGATTGATGACTCCTACATTAGGGGGTGTAAAAATTAAATATTTTAAAATAGAAATTCAAATTAAAAAAACTAATATCAATAAATTTAAATTTAAATCATATAATGGTCCAAGTTACTTTACAAAGTAAAATAGTAAACTTTAACTTTTATGAGAGCCGTAAAACCAGTTCAAAAACTTCTTGTCAGAACTCATCATATGTCATCGGAACACTTCATCAATAAGAGACTAGTTATAGAGCTTACACCATTTACAGCATAATTGAAGAATTGGATAAGGGAGGTAAATCTTTTTCAGTTTCATGCACATGTGAATTGTGTTCCCTCGCAACCGACAAAATACTAATATATAACTAATGTTAAATAAAAAATTATTTACTGGTAGCAGTTTTGGCGATTTTTTCACTGGCGATTGTCAATTCTTGACTTTCTTTTGGAAATGAGTCACTTGTTGTTCTAGCAACTAACATTTGTTTTACTTGAGCTATAGCATTAATCAAACGCTCTAAGAAAAATTAATTAAATTAAAAACATAAACATAAAATACATTTATCATTAATGCTTATTATATTTTTAGTAAAAAAAAAAATTACTATGTTCGGTTTCTAATCCAAAAAGTTTTATTTTGTTCGCTTCATGTTGAGCTTTTTTCTTTAACCGGCATGCTCTATAAACATAAAATTATTATTAAATATTAATCATAGAAGTTAATAAGTATCAAGCAATTAAATAAAAAAAAAATTCCTGATAAAAAATTTAACATAAAAAGTACTTTCATAAAATTTTAACAATTTAAAGAATAAAATAAACAAGTGTTTAGAGGAAATTCTTACATTATAAAAATTAATAAAAATATGAGTAACTTTAAGACTAGAATAATATAAAATTATCATAATCTTCTCAAATTTTGTGATATAATACAAATAATCCAAAAACAGTATCATCATAGATTATTAATATAATTATTGATTTTAAGAAAAAAGATGATATATTTCTTTAGAAATAATTTTTTTATTACTATAAAATATGAAAGATTTTCAAAATACGCAAACATTAAAATTTAAGACCATCACATACAGTTATAATCTTAACGTACTGTGTTTATTATATGTAGTATGTCTAAGCTTTCTTTAGAATAACATAATAAGCTATTTAATTATTATTTAACTTTCTTGTGTATCTCAAAATTAGCTCCAAATGAATACCTAATAGCCTCTAACTCTATAACGTATTTACAATCTCTATACTCTGTACATCAGGTATTAACCGGTTACCGTCCACTGTACAGTAGCACACATCTTTTACATAACAGAATGGTAATAACCAATAGAATGGGAAAAAAATGCATAACATTTTATATTCTCTTTTGAAACAAAGTATAAAATTTAATCACTAATGCTTTAAATTATGCCCTCTTGTTTTTTAAATTAAATCTTACACAAATAATCTTAATAAATCCAATTACTTAATTAAACTTATGTGGGTCCTTAGTTACATTGGTATACTAAGCAGATAGTTTACCAATAGCCTAACTAAATCAACATTCCTTATAATTTTATCTTCCTTTGCACATTACCTTAGACCAATTTCTATCATACTCCTATCTTGTGAACACAAACAATTAATCTCTATTCCTACCATTGGATAATCTACCAACTAACTTTACTTCAAACTACAAAGGTTTATGGCCTTCAACATTTATTTTTTGATTACCCGTCCTTTAACTCTCAATGACCAATTTCGCTCAATTCCCATAATTTTTTTCAATATTTCTCTTAAACTTCTTTTCTATTCTTAACACTAGTGCTGAAATTGTCAATCAAAAAATAATTGCCATTATAATGGAAGCTGATTTTCTCATTTAATAATTATATTGTCTTTAACATAGTTGTGTAAATATTTAACTGTTGAGCTGTAATAACCATGCAATAAAAGCTAATTAATCTCTAAAAATTCCAAAATCAATCAGAATGTTTCATAGAATTATTTTAAGGTGGGTTTAAATGGATTTTATTTAAAAAAAATATTTTTATCTGTAGTAAAATCCACAAAAAGATTATTGATTTATTAATAATTGTTATACTTAAATTTCAATAATGTTTGTCACAAAATCATAGAATATTACCAGCAGCAACTTTGTTTTATAATAACTTTTAAACTTTAAAGAAAAAATAAAATAAATCTATAAGAATATAGATACATATTATGATACAACTCATTCTTAAAAATTCAATCCTTTGTCTTAATAAGTTAATTGGACAAGACTTGTTAATTTTTAGAATATAGGTTAGTAATAATTAATAATTAAATTTAGTACAATATACTTATCATTTATCAATCACTATTATTCCCAAATTGGCATTTGCCAATAAAAATTAAGAAACAATTTATTTAATAATAAAATATAAAAAAAATAGTTTTTTTGGCCAGGGCTTTTAATAGCCAACCATGTTTAAAAACTTATTTTTAACAATAAATTATACCTGGATGCTAATTTGTTCTTTTCTTTACGTGTATTTGGTCTAACATTAAATGGCAACTCACTGACTGGTGTCATTTCAGTTATACTTCTATTCAGTTTATCCAATTCTCTACCAATTGACTGTAATTTTTTAGGATTTGGTGTTAAATCATTACCATCTCCCTTTCTTGCTTTACCACTAAAACAATTAATAATTTCTAATAATTGTATTTATTTCATAGGCAAATAATTAAAATTTACCTATGCTTAATTCCTTGTATTGAGCAATTAGGACTAAATACTGGATCAGTAACCTCATTTAGGCAATGTGGATCTTCTAGCTTACATTTTAAAACTAATCGTTGACCTTTAGGACCCTTAGACTGAACATTGTACTGCCAAAAAAATCTATCTTTATGTGAAGAGGATTTAGCAGATGTCCCACCACAATCGCTATCCCCACCTGAATCTAAACATTTAAAAATAATAATGGTAAAATGTTGTATTTTTAAGTATAAATGTTTATTAAAATCCAACCATTATCAGATGAATAGTCTTCTTCTTGTTCTGTATCGTCATCAGAATCATCGATGGCTTCATCTAAAGAAAAATCATAAGCTTCTGGACTTAATACACCTCCTTAAATAAATAAAAATAGATATGTTTATAGTTGTTTGATTAAAAAGTATTCTAAACCAACCAGTTGAAAGCGAAGAAGTGGATCCTGCTTCTACTAATGATCCAGTAGATAATAAATGCTGTCGAGGTTCTCTACGCTGCCAAATTTGTTCAAGTCCAAGATGAGTAGGCGCTGATGATGAAAGATTTCCTCTTGATCTGCTAGCCAACATAAATCCTGATCCTGGAACACTAGTTCCAAACATAGGAGGAGATAAACACTTCTGTGACTTTGTTTCTTTTTTTAAAAGTTCTTGTAGTGTTATTGAATTTGTTGGACCAGGAGAAAGTGATGAACGTGAACTGCAACTATTTGGTGAAAGTTGAAAGCCAGACTTTGAAGAACTTGGTCGGTTAATAGGGCTAGTATTAACAACATGATCTATCAAGTATGGACTCATTAATGGGGTAGTGTCAGGTATTTCAGATTTTACTGAATCAGGTGGTAATAATAGGTCATCAAAATTGAGGTCTTCTAATAAAGATTCACCGCCATTGGCATTTAATTCAGCTAACGTTGGTCCATGAAGCAAATCAGATTGATCCACCTGTATAAATAAAACAATGATCAATACAACAAACCATATGTATTTAAAATTATGCATACATAATGGAGAAAATGAACAATCTTGAAATAAAATCTCAGGTCATCTAAAAATTCAATTTTAAACTTAAAACTAACCAAAGCTTAATGAACGTTAATAGTTGAATAATACTTATAGAAGTCTTTGATTGAGTATTAATAACAATAAAAACAAAACTGTTATATATTAAATGAAGTTTAAAAATAATCTATAAATATCTTGATAGTTTTCAAGTATATAATTTATAAAGATTTATGACCAAAAATAATATCTTAGTTCTATACAAAATGTGATTCCCATTACTGCACAAATGATAAAAAAAAAACACTCAACAAGGCACAAAAATTTCAATATAACTGATGATCTATTAAAGTATATTTCAAATTTTATTAAAATTTTATTTAAGTCAGTTCAAATATCACAATTGAATATTTATGTGAAACATTGATACATATTTTATAAAAATAAAAATTGAACACTATTAGAAAATAATAATTTCTTTAAACTTATTTGAACATACACAGGCCACAAAATTTAATAAATTTGTGCAATAATGGCTGCTTTATAAGTAAATCTCAAATACAAAAGAAAAAAATGTAAAGAAAATAATACAATAAATTATGAAAATTTGAATCATTGAGTATGATTCTTAGATATTATTGGTTAGTGTTATCAATCTTAAATTAAATTAGTCAATAAAAAATATAAATAAACTAAACAATCATCATTAAGGATGGAAAATATTTACAAATATTTTAAATATTTTTACTGATTTAATTTAAAATTGATTAAATATTTTTTTCTAATATTTTAATATTTACCTAGTGTCCTAATAAATATAGTTGGGCAGAGGCTGATGTAAGTAATAACACATTTTACTAAAAATCCCAGTAAACCATGTGATATTTTGCACATAACACAATTTAACTTCAATGCAAGGCATCAGATAAGTCCTACTGTGTTATACTTGGACTTCATTAATAATGTATGTATATTTAAATTGCATACCATATTTTTGATTACAAATGTGGTCTATTATAAATAAGTTAATTATAAAAAAATCAACTTTGAGTAGTATAACCAAATTCTTAAGTACACATGAGTTCATTTTATCCTTCTTTATGTAACTTTTTTTTCTCTGTAAAACATATAGCTGAATAATAGAATGAATCAGTATATAATTTGTATTTTAGTAATCATTTTTATTTATAATCATTCAAAAAATATAAATATTACACAATAAGATAGGCAATAAGTAATCAACAGACATAGAAATATAGAATATCATTAAAATATAACAATGTTGGTTAATGTGCTATCTAAATAATTAACATGAATTTATTCAAACAATTAGTGATAATTAAAGCTCGAATTTCAATGTATTTAGATCATTTTTATAACTATTATTACTTATTACAATGCTTAATCATACTATAAAGTTTTAGAAACAAACTTCTTGCAAAATAATATTTATTTTTTTAATATTTTTGACCTCTTTCTTAGAATATGACGAAACAGAAGCAATTGTATTTTAATTTATAATACACAAAACATTATAAACTGTTTAAATCTGATTAAAATAATGTGAGCATCAAATATCTAGATCTTCATATAACTACTGGTTGATTACAAACTGATTTAAAATTTATTAATTCGATATGAATAGACTCATTTAAAAAAAAAAAAATTATAATTTTATCAAACAACTTATTTTTAGGAATGTTTATATAATTGATTTTTTAAGCATTAAAATTCGAGCAGTAATTATAATTAATAAAATAGTATATATTTTTATTCAAAAATAATTATAATATAAATTCAATAAAATATTAAATTGGGTTATTTTATCATAAAATAAATCATTAATATATGTATATTTGTGTTAATTTTTTATTATATAACTATTTATTATTATAGTTAACTGAATGATTAGTTGAAAACATAAAGGAGAAAATAGTCCTTTAAAAACTCACAAATATTGAATATAGTATAGGTATATAGTAGTTATTAAATATTTTTAATTATTCCATAACCCAATTTTAATTACTTTAAAAGTATGAATTGCATAATACTTATTTAAAGATTTTACATGTCATGTATAAATAAAAATGCTATAATAATTGTCAAATTTTAAATATCTACTTAAAATAAAAAATAAAAAAATATAACAAATGTCAACTACTACCTACCTACTCAAATTAATCAATACAATGGACCTCTTGAATTTTATATGAAAGGCTTGTTCATAACAATTTAAAGAAGAAAAAAATTAGTTCAAAAAGATATTATTTGACCCATGTACAAGTAAAAAGGATTTTTTTTATTTATTGAAGTAACGTTTTATTGTTACAATCTATATAATATTTAAATGACAGAAAAGGGAAGTCACCCACTGGCAGCAACCCAGAAAAAAAGAGTTAAACCAATAATTTTAAATCAGAAAAAGATAGTAATGTGAAGATAAAAAAAAAATAAAAAGTTAAGAATACAAAAGTACAAATAAAATAAATAATGATTGTCTTACCTGAAAAATGTCTTCATCCATTTTTATAAAAGACATTTCATCAGATCTTCCTATCCATCCAGTATCATTAGAGAAAAAATTTTGATCTGCATTATTGACTACCATAGGATCTTGAATAAGGTCATTTGTTGTATCAAACAATTCAAATCCATAATCTTGTAATGAATTAAGATCTCCATTCTTCCTTATAGGTATAGGTACCCCTAATGATGAACTTTCTGTAGGATAATCAGCTTTTAATACACGTTTAGTTTCCATTGTGCCAAAAAAGTTTGTGTAATCTTTATTATTCATTTTTTCTTCTTTATAATGTGATATATATATAAGCAATTTTTTTTTAAATTTCTTTCCAAGAATTAAAAAAATTACTTTTTATTTATTTATGAGTTAAAGAAATTAAGTAATCAAATTTTTATTTTTTTTCAATTTTTATTCGTCTGAAAAAAAAAAAAGAAAAAGTACATTAAGTACAACTAGCATTAAGAAAAAAAAATAAATAACAACAAAAAACGTATTATTTAAACATTTTAAACAACAGTCTTAATGTGCTAAAACACTATTACCATGATTAAAACCGTTTTTTATAAATTTATAATCTTAGTCCTTATTTATATAATAGATATATTCATTGGCGAAATTAGGGGGGTGCACAGGGGACTTGTGCACCCCCAAGTTTGGAATGTGTACCCTCAAAAAATAAAATCCATTTTCTAAAAATTATTGTAGGTATCATAATGTATATTATTGAGAAAAATAGTTTCCTATTTGCTATTATGTCCCCTGCTATACATAATGTATAGTGTATACATATATATTTTATACCGACACTGTATATAGTCTTATTTTATAATGTACTAATAAACAATAAGTTTTGACTTATAACGTTTTTATACGGGTCTCATAAACGAAGTTATTCGTAATTCGTGGAATAACAATTATAATGATATTATACTATATTTATATTATAGCTGTTACTTTTTTTATTTGTGTAATGTGAACGGTAATGGGAGTAATAATGTGGGGGTGTGGGGGCTTTGCCCCCATGGCTCTGTGAGCTCTTCACTATTTGTGCACCCTCAAAAGTATTGGTCTAGTTGCGCCTATGGATATATTAAGTACATTTCAAAGCTGAGTTTTGTTAATGTTTTAAAAAACTAAAGAAGTTTGTATGCATATATATATATATCATAACTAGAGAGCGGATTTTTAGGTTTTTACATATTTTTATTGGTTTTATGCAGCTTTATGAGAGTGAAAAATGTGGACGATTTATCCATCACAGAGTTCATAGGAAAAAATTTATTTAGCATATTTTGGACTTAAGAGAATATTTAGCCTATTTTTCATATTTTAGAATATATTCTATTATTGTTCATAAAAAATCATATTATACATTATTAATTTATCGATGTGTGATATTTTCTTGCAATAATTTTTTCTAGGAAAACAAATTATTTTATACAAGAATGATAAAAATTAAAAATTATTCAATTATCTACTTGTTTGTAATCAAATTGGTAATGTTGGTCATTTTGTTACTCTTAATCCATGATTGTACTTACGGTCCTATAATAACATGATAAGAATGATTTCTAATAATAAATCTATTTTATTTTTAATTTTATATTGTTTATTATTTTAACTTTAATGTCTGACGATTTAGTTAAATTTGTAATATTCATTTTTATTTTTTTAAATGCCGAAAATTAACAAAAGTTTAAAATATTCATATAACTATGAACTGTTTTGTATTTTTTATAATTAAATATTTTATATGTTACCAAAAAGGAATGGTACATAAGTTATTTATTGTTTTTATTGAATAATTTTGGGAAAAAAACAAATCATATTATCTGCATATTTATAAGTTTAAGGGATATTTAGAGAATATTTTAGGGTTTTTTAGAACATATTAGCATCATATTTTAAGCTTTTAAGAACCTAAAAATCCGTTCTTTAATCATAACAAACTAGACATTAACATATTTTATAAAAATAAAGAATGTATCAGTAAAAGACATATATCTAAAAGATGCTTAAAAAATAATAGAGCATTAAATAAAGAATGTAAACCTATAAGGATATAAACCTATAAGGTGAACTAGATAATATTTTTACATTTAAATTTGATAATAAGTTAATTAATTGCAATATTAAACACAAAGGAATTAAGTGGATTTTTCAGAATGTACAATTTACTATGTTATGTGTTAGTATACAGATATAGTGTCTTCTTAATATTTCTTTTTAACTGTTAAATCATAAGCAAAGTGTGACTAATAGGTGGCTTTTTATTCATGTAAAATTTTGTTTTCAGAATTTTTTCTCCTCTTTCATTTAAATTTATTATATGAACCTATAGATTGAATATTATATAGTTGTTATTATAATTAGAAAAAAAGTATTTTAAGTTTTGAGATTTAAATTTTGATTATTTACCCAATTGTCTGCATATTTTTTTTTTTTATTAGGTATACTATTGTAATTTATTTATTGATCTAAGCTTTTCTTTAACAATCAACGTAATACTTAATACTATTACTTAAAATAAATTTAAAAATCATAATTCTATGCAACTGTAAAAAAGTCTTCTTCTTTTAGATAAAAAATTGTTATCAAAATCTGAAGATGAAATAAAACCTGTGAAAATGTTCTGTAAAATTATTTTTTTTTTAATATAATACACCATATTCTCATCCCCCTCGCCTCACCACAAGAAATAATGGGGCAGTATATAAATGGAAAAAAATATTAAAATTATGGTGGAAACTAAAATACATTTTCTAAATTTTATAGATTTATCAAGAATTTAAAAATTGTCATCAGACTCCTTAAAATTATAATAGCTAAAATATTGCATTACATTAAAGTTTGATAGTAATAACATGTTTCAATGGTATTTAAAAATATACACAAATTATTTATGTCATGATGTACACTAAAACACCTATACTTCAGCAATCAGATATTTGCTTTTTTGTTATTTCAAAAATATTTTTATGAAAAACCTAATATTCACCTTACAGACCAGAAAATAATAAAAAGGGTACTGCAAGTAATTATGTAAATATACATATTTAAGTAAAGTGTATATCCAAAAATATATTTATCAATACACCACTGATCATTTGAGAATAATTATATATTGTCTAGACAATATAAGACCAAAAAAAATTTTTGAAAATAAAAGTATCAGTTTCTTCCTTTTATTACCACCAACCCTGATCTATGGACTTTAAAATCCCCATTTATGATCAAGATTAAAAAATAATGAAAATTATAATAATTATAATTTAGTAAACACTGGTTGAAACATAATCCCCTTCAAGTAAATTTCTACTTACTTAATTATTAAGAAATGAATCAAAATTACCTATTTTCTTTTAATACACAAAGTAATGAAATATTTAGGCATATATTATGTAATAAACATAACATCATATTTCAATTTTTATAAATATTTTGATTAAAGAAAAATGGAACAGCTCATATTGATTTAAGTGACACATATTAGGTATAAAGATAATATATATTATTTATATTATATATAATGATAATGATGAAAAAATAAATCATAAAACCACGATTAAATGGGTACCTAATTATTAAAATCATTAAATATTTCAATAAACATCAGCATTCAGCATGCATCAGTAATAAGGTTATAGTTCGGGTATACAACTATTGTCTAGTGTCTACTAGTCTGTTGAGTGTTGGATATTCACACATAGTGCATAATACACATTGTAGTTAACCATTGAACAGCTGTTTATAATTTATTCACCGATGTCCACAACAGTGTGTCAAAACGTGAAATAGCACAATACAATCTACCCTATACAATAATCGGTGAGACACAAAAAAAAGATTATAAGATCAATAAATGTATACTTTATGTAACGTTCGGACGAAAAATGTCGCTGCGTATATGACTATTATCGTCGTCGTCTTCGGGTTATTAATTACTACAATACGTTTATACTATTTGTGTCGTTGGGATAAATATGGGATGGTGTACGTACCGAATAATATCGCGAAGTCTGCACCTACCTTGTAGGGTTCGGTTGATCTTGCGTTCGCAAAAAAAATTAGCATATCGAACACCGCGCAACAAGTCGAGCAGAAGAAATTTATCGCCAATCATAGCGGACCGTTTTGCACACACACAGGGCCTCGTGGACGTCCACTACCACTCCGCCGGCCGACGCTCGTAATAACCCACAGGTCGCGCGCGATTAATAAATTTTCGACAGCAGAGCCCGCGCCGAAAGAGTCGAAAGGCTATCCGACTTAGAGTTTAAAATCAAACAAGGAACGCACACAAACGCGCGAAGAGCGCGCGCACGCACAGCAACTCGACAAAAACGCGCACGCGCACGCGTAAATACCAATACGGACACGGTGATAAAAAGTAGTTTATACAATTATTATTATAAACAAGATATGTATATAATATATAATATATATATAAACACGCGCGCGCGCGTATATGTATTTACATGTTTTACATAAACATTTAGGCCACGCCACGGGCTCTTGGACGTGACACGTGAGTGTGCGTGCGCAAGTAGGGGCTATTGGGGGTTATCAAGGACACGCGATTATGATAAGAGGCCACGAGGATGGATAATGATTATTATTTTATTATACTATACAACAGTACAGTGTACAATAATAATATTCTTTGTTTATATTTACCTTTTGTCGACGAGCAACGGACGACCACGTCCATCAGCAGCGGGACTGCAACGGCGACGACGGCGCACGGCGCTCTAAGGCCTAAGCGGTAGTAGGTCCTCCTTTAGCGACGACAATGACGATTCGACGCGATGACGACGACGACGACAGGCGAACGACAAAGAAAAGCGCACGGCCATGACTTTCGACAGCGCAACGTTGGCGAGCAGGTGGACCCCCCGCCGCACAATTTATAATCTCAATCGCCGAATTCGATATAGTACGGTTTCCCCGAAGGGCCGCATTTACGGGTACTGCGTTCGAGACGAAATAAAAACACCGAAAACGGCACACTCCACTACACCGCTTGTTGACGACGAGCACGAAACACGACTCGCAAATAATAATATTATAGTTGTTCACGGCGATGCCCACTTGTTGGGCACAGAGTCTCAAATCGATGTTAACCGCACGCGGCGACGACCACTTAAATACTGTATTAATATTTGTAGTATTTGTACGTAATCGTTTATTACTCAATCACTGTATTAAAACTTAACGGTGGAGAACAAAACAAAAATAACACGCGATCATCAACAATATTATTTTTATTATTATTACTACAACGATCTTCAGCGCGCGAGCAGATTACGAGTTACGATAATAAATGCTCCGTGTCGT